GAGCTACACTTTTTCTAATTTCCAGTCACAATGAAAAACCCTATGCCTTTTTGCTATAGGTCCACAGATAAAAATAGTTGGGGGCCCTCAGTGAAATGATCAGATGATTGTCCTACCACCAGAGACATTAAACAAAACAAAAAAACCCCAAACCTGTTGCCGTCTATTTGATTCCAACTCATGGGAACAATTCATCTGGAAGATATAATAATCATAAATGTGTATGTGCCTAAAAGAGAGCTTCAAAATAAATGAAGAAAAAAATGACAGAATTAAAAGAGAAATAGACAATGCCACAGTCATAATAGAAGATTTTAATGTCCTTCACTCAGCAGTTGACAGAACAACTAGACCAAATACTAGTAAAGACAGATGATCAGCACAACACTATCAATCACCTTGACCTAATTGATTTCTGTACAACACTACACCCCAAATGGCAGAATACACATTTTTTTTCAAGTACACATGACAAGTCCATCAAAATAAAACAAGTCTGTATAAATTTAAAAGGATTGCAGCCACACAGAGTATGTTTCCATGGGCCAAAGAAGAAGTGCAAGAGAAATTAGAAAATATTTTCTATTGAATAATAATGAAAATACAGTGTATCAAAATTTATGCAATATAGCTAAAGCAATGCCTAGAGAAAAATGTATAGCTTTAAATGCTTGTATTAGAAAAGAAGAAAGGCCTAAATTTAATCACTTAAGTTCTCACCAAGGAGCTAGAAAAAGAAAAATGAAGTAAGGCAAATGTATATAGAAGAAAAGTAATAGAAGCAGAAATAAATGAAATAAAAGACGACCAATGGGAGGAAATTAACAAAGTGGAAAATTGCTTCTTTGAAAAATTGAACAAAACCGATGAGCCCCTAGTTGGACTGATTGAAAAAAAAAACACAAAAACAAAACAAACAAACTATATATTTATAGAGAGAGAGAGAGAAAACACAAATCACCAATATCGGGATTGAAAGAGTAGTTATCACTGTTGTTGTTGCTAGGTGCCGTCCAATCAGTTCCAACTCATAGTGACCTTATGTACAACAGACTGAAACACTACCCGGTCCTGTGCCATCCTCATAATTGTTATTATGCTTAAGCCCATTGTTGCAGCCACTGTATCAGTCCATCTCTTTGACGGTCTTCCTCTTTTTCGTTGACCCTCCACTTTACTAAGCATGATGTCCTTCTCCAGGGACTGATCCCTCCTGATAACATGTCCAAACTATATGAGACATAGTCTCACCATCCTTGCTTCTAAGGAGCATTCTGGCTATACTTCTTTGAAGACAGATTTGTTTGTTCTTTTGGCAGCCCGTGGTATATTCAAAACTCTTCACCAACACCATAATTCAAATTCTTCTTCCATCTTCCTAATTCATTTTCCAACTTTTGCGTGTGTATGAGGTGATTGAAAACACAATGGCTTGGGTCAAGCACACTTTAGTCTTCAAGGTGACATCTTTGCTTTTTAACACTTTAGAGAGGTCTTTTGCAGCAGATTTGCCCAATGCAATATGACATTTGATTTCTTGACTGCTGCTTCCATGGGTGTTGACTGTGGATCCAAGTAAAATGAAAT